CAAGTTAAGAAGACGGAAGCTAGCGGTGTGTTAAAACTGCAATGAACATATTGCCATTCCTGCAAATAAGCGGTGTCTTACATTGAGGTGCCAAAAATACTGGGGCACTGCACCTTGACCCCTTCATTGAGATTAAGTGGTTTGGGTGCTTATATAAGTCACTTTAACCAGACACAACAACAGTAAAGTCATGACATCTGCATAATTTATGTGTGTAGTTTATCTTGGGAAATTTAAATGTTAATTTATCAAATAAACACTCCAGTCACCATAACAACTTAATCTAAATGAAGTTGTAATGGTGTCAGGAGTCCCCTGTGTTCTCTCTTAAAGCAACACTCCATGCACTGTAATCAATAGAAAGCACCAGAGTGGTTATAATGTCAGGAATGTTCTGATACCACCATTGTAAAAAGTCAAATAGTTTTAGAAGCATGCTGTAGTAGTTACGGTGCTTGGAGTATTCCTTTAACTGGATGTTTCAGATATATCTAAAGCTATACCCAAGTGTAGATAAAAACTATCAATTCTGGACCTTTATAAACCTATAATTTCAATTGGCAACAATTGGATGGTTAGTGTTTAGCCCTATATATCACCCCCTGACATGTAGGTATGTTACGTTTGTATTCCTAACAGTACAGTGTTCCTTTAAAATTTAAAAAATCCGATGTTAACGCAACATAACTGTTTAGGAAATAACCCCCACCAAAAAACTTTTTTTTGTTGTGTTATGTAATTGGTTTTGCTATGTACCTTTTACATTTTTAATCAGCAGTTTTGCAATATTCAACTGATGTGCTGTCATCTCCGCACTTCACAGACGAGAAGCGACATGAGGGAACTAAACAAGTTGTTACTGTGAGAAAGTAATAGAATTATGTAGAAAACTTAATAAATGAATCAAGTAGCAATTAAAGAGGCTCTGTCACCTTGCAGGTTTTGCGTTTAAATTAATCTTTTTTTTGTCTGTCTCTGTTTCTTATTATTTAAATTTTTCTAAAATCCACCCGAGCATTCTATTTATACATAAGGAATAGTAAGGACTACTTTTTCTCATGGGGGGTGTGATCTTTGGCAAATTTTGTTAATGGGAGAAGCTTAGGAAAAGTTCCATTTCAGTAGTTAAGCTGATTTACCCACAATAAGTCAAAAGAATCTCACAGAAGGCAAACTGCAGACATCATGGACAGAGGAGAACAAAATGGAGTCACCCAGGTATTAAGATCTGGCACAAGGATGAAAAGATTATAAATATAAATAAAAGTGGCAAAGGCGGAAGTATAATCATAAAGATTACAGGGGGCATAAGGAGACATCCCTCTAAGTGGTGGTTTTCAGAGTGTTTTATTTGGATCTTTCTTGATATCTGTATTCATACATCTACTATTGCGGTGCTTCCCAACCTGTTGTATGCATACCCCCAGGGGTACAAACCAGTTCCCACAGGAGTATGCAAAAAAAAAAAATTAATAATGGCGGAACTAACGCCGGTGCAGCTGCACTGGGGCCCGCAGGCTGAGGGGCCCATGCTCTTAGGGCCACCCGATGGATGTGTCAACAGGGGCCTGGTTGTGCTGTTATGGGCCGCCCCTGTAATATCACAGCGCTGGGAGAAAGTGAGAGCCCAGCTAACACAGTCCGTGGGGGAGTGAAAAGAGGATGTTGAGAGGGACCGGCAGTGCAAGCCCCTTACTCCCTTAGCCCCAGCCAGCAGATGCCACTCAAAAGGTAGGAAACTGGAGGGTCGCTAGAATTCTGACCTGTATGTGTGTATTTATCTGTACGTGTCAATGTTTGTGTCTGTGTGTTTTTCTGTGTGTCTGTATGTGTGCCTATGTAACTGTATGTATGTAAGTCAGTGTGTTACTGCGTGGCATTGTACCTGTGTGTCTGTATATTTTTTTTATACATTTTTATTAAAGAATATCTATCTATAGAATTTTTCTATGGTAATCATTATAAAGAGCTATACTGGTTGTGGTGCTTAGTGTCCCTTTACCTGCTAGACCAGTGATGGCGAACCTTTTTGAGCCCGAGTGCCCAAACCGCAATACATGCCAACTTTTTTTTCCTTAAAGTGCCAACATGGCAATTAAACCTCAATACTGAGGTTTAAGTTTAGAAAAAACAACTCCTACTGTTGTCTGAACTAATTAACAACTTTTTTTTAAAAGAACACAACAGAGAGTTCAATGATACAAATTTTAAATAATGATATAAATAGATCAAATTAAGCTTATATTTATTATTATCTCCAACAAATGCAATACATACAAAAACAGACTGCTGAATACATACACACAGTCTGCTGAATACACACACACAAGACTGCTGAATACAGAGACTGATGAATACACACACATACAGTCTGCTGAATACACATACAGACAGACTGCTGATTGCACACACACAGACTGCTGAGTACACACACACAGACTGCTGAATACATACACAGACTGCTGAATACATACACACACAGTCCGCTGAATACACACACACACACACACACAGTCCGCTGAATACACATACTGCTGAGTATACAAACACACACACACACAGACTGCTGAATACACACACACACAGACTGCTGAATACACACACATACTGCATTGAGGGGTGTAGTGTATGTTTTTGTGTGTGGGGTGCTGTGTGTGAGGGGTGCTGTGTGTGTGTGATGGTTGTTGTGTGTGTGTGTGATGGTTGTTGTGTGTGTGTGTGATGGTTGCGGTGTGTGTGTGTGTGAGGGGTGCTGTGTGTATGTGTGAGGGGTGCTGTGTGTGTGTATGATGGGTGCTGTGTGTGTGTATGAGAGGTGCTGTGTGTGCATGTGTGTATGAGGGGTGTTGTGTGTGTGTATGAGGGGTGTTGTGTGTGTGTGTGTGTGAGGGTGCTGTGTGTGTGTGAGGGGTGTTGTGTGTGTGTGAGGGGTGCTGTGTGTGTGCTGTGTGGGGGTAAGGGTGCTGTGTGTGTTGTGGGGTGCTGTGTGGGGGTAGGGCTGCTGCTGTATGTGGGGGTAGGGTGCAGTGTGTGGGGGGTAGGGCTGCTGTGTGTGTGTGGGGGGAGGGAGGGATGCTGGGTGTGGGGAGGGAAGCTGGGTGTGGGGAGGGATGCTGGGTGTGGGGGAGGGGAGGAATGCTGGGGAGGGGTGCTGTGTCGGGGGTAGGGGTACTGTGTGTGTGGGGGGTAGGGGTGCTGTGTGTGTGGGGCTGGGGTAAAGGTGTTTAAAAAAAAAAAGTATGCTAAATCAGTCTCCCCCTCCTCCCTCCTTCTTACCTTTAATGAAGGAGGGGGGGGACACACAACCATCCCTGGTGGTCCGATGGTGGCAAGCACTGCTTCCGTGTCGGGAGGCAGGGGGAGGGATCTGTGAAGCAGCTCCCCTGTCCTCCCGCGCGATGCTGTGGGGAGCGTTGCCATGGTAACCCTCAGCAATGCTCCACAAAGCTTGCTCGCGGGAGGACAAGGGAGCTGCTTCACAGACCCCTCCCCCTGCCTCCCGACACGGAAGCAGAGTAGGCTCCTGCCATTTTGGGCAGACAGGTGCCTACTCTGCATTGATGGCGAACCTATGGCCACATGCCCACAGAAAGGGCCCGGCGTGCCACCTATGGCACCTGTGCCATAGGTTCACCATTACTGTGCTAGACTGATAAATAAAGGTCTGCCAGACAATTCTATTCCTGTGCAATTAAAATATAACCAATACTTGAGGTAAATTCAAAGGGTACTTCAAAGCCTCTTTAACTGAAAAAAATAATTTCCTATGCAGCAAATATACCACTTCAACAAAAAATAGAATTTCCTGTGCCTGAATTATTAAATAAATAAGCTGAATCATTCTTTGAGCACTCGGTTAGTTTTATTAGCGGAAAGGGTCGGGAAAGGGGTCATATTGAATAAAAACATATGATTTTGGTGGTGGACGAGGGAATGTATAATGGCACTTACCTGCGGGAAATAAAGTGAAAATGGATATTTACTAAATATAGCGTGTGATAGTATTCCTGGAGATATAGTCCTAGAGGTTTACATAGAGCCAGCCTCACCCCCCCTCCCCACGCAGCATCTTCAGTGCACACGTCACATGCATCCCAGATACACACTCCACGCCGCGTGGCTATATATAGCACAGAGTGGGCTAAATATAGCGTGCTCCCCCCCCTCTCCTGGATTACTGTTCTCCCCCCTCCTGGATCACTGCCCTCCCCCCTCGTCCTTTCTCTCCCCTGTCACCTCCTCTGACGCTCTCTCCTTTTCTGAGTCAGTCTGACCCTGTGTGTGCAGAGCATCTCTCCCTGCTACTGACCCCCATCTGCAGATCCTCAAAAGGAATAAACACAGGCAGCGCTCCAATAGTAAGGATGGTATATTTATTGATAGGTGAACCACCCCATAGAAAGTGCCCCATCTGCAGATCATCTCTCCCCGGCGTCGACTGACCCGCATGTTCAGAGCATCTCTCCCTGTCATTAACGTTGCATGCATCGGCATTGGAACCAAAGAAAATCGGGGACAACAGCCTTTCGTAATAAATATGCGGGCCTTAAGGAGCATACGTTAAACCATGCATTTTTCTATAAGCAAAATAATATATTATCACTGGTACGGTGCCCATCTTAGGACACAGTCACATTGTCTGGGGAGACTATTAATAGGTGGTGTATAGACATATTTGAGCTACCTGGCCTATAAATACATATAAATATGCAATTTCTCACAAAAAAAATCAATTATTCACTAAAGGTGTTTCCACTGGATTTTCTTCTTCATCTTTCAGTAGAAATAAGCTATTTTGAAAGCTTTGTGGAGAAGATAACCATCTCCTTTAAAATATGTTTAGTTTTTCTCATCTTTACAAAAACAGTAAAACATTTCATTTGAAAAGCTACACCAGCTTATATATGGTGATACTGTATTAGCCCTCTCATTCTCCTCCATTAGATTTTTGGGAAAGGGGTGGGGGGTGGGGGGGATTAGCCATCCCCTCCAATATCCAAGCCTACATGTGCAGAGCATTCCTCCTAGCCACTCACTGACCCTGTACATGCAGAGCATCTCTCCTAGTCACTGACTGACCCTGTACATGCAGAGCATCCCTCCTAGTCACTGACTGACCCTGTACATGCAGAGCATCTCTCCTAGCCACTCACTGACCCTGTACATGCAGAGCATCTCTCCTAGTCACTCACTGACCCTGTACATGCAGAGCATCTCTCCTAGTCACTGACTGACCCTGTACATGCAGAGCATCTCTCCTAGTCACTGACTGACCCTGTACATGCAGAGCATCTCTCCTAGCCACTCACTGACCCTGTACATTCAGAGCATCTCTCCTAGCCACTCACTGACCCTGTACATGCAGAGCATCTCTCCTAGTCACTGACTGACCCTGTACATGCAGAGCATCTCTCCTAGTCACTCACTGACCCTGTACATGCAGAGCATCTCTCCTAGTCACTGACTGACCCTGTACATGCAGAGCATCTCTCCTAGTCACTGACTGACCCTGTACATGCAGAGCATCTCTCCTAGTCACTGACTGACCCTGTACATGCAGAGCATCTCTCCTAGTCACTGACTGACCCTGTACATGCAGAGCATCTCTCCTAGTCACTGACTGACCCTGTACATGCAGAGCATCTCTCCTAGCCACTCACTGACCCTGTACATGCAGAGATATCTCTCCCTGCCAACTCCCCCTAACAATGACCCTACATATGCAGATTATTACTCCCTGCCGCCCAGCTAGCCAGTGACAGACCCTAGATTTACAGATCTCCCTCTTCCACGGACCTCCTGTAGAACATTCCTCCCTGCTACTGACCTTATGCAGACCATCTCTCCCTGCCACTGACCTCATGCAGAGCATCTCTCCCTGCCACTGACCTCCTGCAGATCATCTCTCCCTGCCACTGACCTCTTGCAGACCATCTCTCCCTGCCACTGACCTCCTGCAGATCATTTCATCCTGCCACTGACCTCCTGCAGAGCATCTCTCCCTGCCACTGACTTCCTGCAGAGCATCTCTCCCTGCCACTGACCTTTTGCAGACCATCTCTCCCTGCCACTGACCTCCTGCAGACCATCTCTCCCTGCCACTGACCTCCTGCAGACCATCTCTCCCTGCCACTGACCTCCTGCAGACCATCTCTCCCTGCCACTGACCTCTTGCAGACCATCTCTCCCTGCCACTGACCTCCTGCAGATCATTTCATCCTGCCACTGACCTCCTGCAGAGCATCTCTCCCTGCCACTGACCTCCTGCAGAGCATCTCTCCCTGCCACTGACCTCCTGCAGAGCATCTCTCCCTGCCACTGACCTCCTGCAGACCATCTCTCCCTGCCACTGACCAATCCTTTCCTATCATTACCCTTGCAGATGATCTCTCCCCTGCTATTAATCCTGCAGACCTTTCCTCTCTTGCCACCAATAAGGTAAAGCACTCCGATCCATTATCCACCAGCCCTGGAGTAGATTGCTTCTCTTCTCTCGAGCTCTGCATTGTATCCGCCCTGTAGCTACCGGCATGCACTGGGGTATTTGCATATACTAATGTCCTTGATTTTTCTGATTGTTTGTGCCTTTTAATAAGATTTATTGAGGTTCAAGTAAGAAAAAAACATTATTAACTACTGGAAAATATGCTATAGAAGACTCAACCAGAATCAATTTTAATATTATGTCACTAAAAGTGAAAAGTAATAGTATTGTGAAGCTTTAAATAAATTGACAGGTCACTTAGTATTTTGCCCGAATGATCCTCAGTGGTCTGGGGTGCAGGCTTCAAACCTGTAGCTGTCTAGGGACAGAGTGGTTCAATTCCACCTTTCGGGCGCAAGAAATATCTGTTTTAGTCTATTTTTATCAACATGTACATCAAATAATAGAATGGGATTGGAACCCCCTTAAGGACTGAGCAATGTGCACATTGTAAACAAAACCTGGAATTTGACTTAATGTCTGTTCAACCTAATTCACCTCTTTCATATTAAGTGCACTCACACTTATATATCATTTTATTCAGGGAATCATTTAACATCAAATATTTAGCAATGAAACATAATTAAATATGAATAAAATTTTTAAAAATGGGAGAAAAATAAGAAATGTTGTAATTTGTTTAGTTCTACGTGACAGTTTAACTGTCAATGTCATAATACTGTTTGCTTTTACTACAATAAAATACACATATTTGTATTCAGCGATGTCTCGCGTGTAAATCAGTACCCCCTATGTACAGGTTTTATGGTGTTTTGGGAAGTTACAGAGTCAAATATAGCCCATTACATTTTTCAGTTTTTTCACACTGAAATTCTCCAGATTGGTTACGTTGCCTTTGAGACAGTATGGTAGCCCAGGAATGAGAATTACCCACATTATGGCATACCATTTGCAATAGTAGACAACCCAAAGTATTGCAAATTGAGTATGTCCAGTCTTTTTTAGTAGCAAATGTTAGTGTTAATATTTGTTTGTGTGTGAAAAATGCAAAAAACTAATCTGAACTCCAATTTTGGCCAATGTTTCTGACTAAGTGGCTTCCAAAAAAGACTGGACATACCCCATTTTCAATACATTGCAAATGGTATGCCATCATGGGGGTAATTTTCATTCCTGGGCTACCATACGGTCTCAAAGGCAACGTAACCAATCTGGCAAATTTCAATGTGAAAAAAATGAAACACAAGCCTTATATTTGACTCTATAACTTTTGAAAACACCATAAAACCTGTACATGAGGGGTACTGTTATACTCGGGAGACTTTGCTGAACACAAATATTAGTGTTTCAAAACAGAAAAACATATCACAACAATTATATCGTCAGTTTAAATGCCATTTGTGTGTGTGTGTGTGAAAAATGCAAAAAATGTCACTTTCACTGACGATATCATTGTTGTAATACATTTTACTGTTTGAAATACTAATATTTGTGTTCAGCAAAGTCTTCCGAGTAAAACAGTAACCCCCCCTACTGTAGCACCGAATCCGTTTACTCAGCCCAACCTAATACTGCCACTATCTTGCTATAATCATACAAACAATGCTATTTGGATGTAGCACATCAAACAGATACTCTGTTTCAATTTCTACAAACAGCTTACCTCAACATGATTGTTTTCTACTTTGATAGTCTAATACAGGCTTCCCCAAACTCCGGCCCTCCAGATGTTGCTGAACTACAACTCCCATGATTCTCAGCCCATCTATTGCATTCATAGAATCATGGGATTTGTAGTTCAGCAACATCTGGAGGGCCGGAGTTTGGGGAAGCCTGGTCTAATAGATTTAGAGTAACTTCTTCTGTAAATATCTGGTTTAGCAAAATCCAATTCAGTTAGACATTTAGTTGATAATCGACTTCACATTTGTCCTAGCATAAAATAAAGGATTTTGCCATATAATTGCATTGCCTATGTGTAAGTACAGTTTTTATTATAGTTCCATAACCCATTTTTATCTGGTGTGGCACAACACAATTTGTAGTATGTCAATATATTTTTTCTCTCGTTTGTATACTTGTATGTACACGAAAAAAATTGGTATAGAGGAGATGAAATGTATATTTAATTTTAACACGCTAATTCCCCATGGCTTGAATCAAGATTTTAAGTTGTGTCACTTTATAAACTGACACTGTATAATCTTAACACAACCCTTATTTATAAATGCTTGATAGATACTATCCATCTTCTTACTTAGATTAATATAACATTTTAGACTTTTGTATATACTCTTTTATGTTATTATTATATTCTAAGACCTTAAAATCAAACTGAAGAAAAGGAAGAAAGAAAGAATGCATTTTTATCTTTATATTTTTATAAATGTTCATTTTTTTTATTCACTTATTTATGGCACTGTGGTGGCATGTTTTATATTGTGTTTTTTCATCTTTTAAGGAAGATTGCTAGTGTATACCTATTTATATGTTTTTTTTTTATTATTCTTTATTTTGTTTGTGCAGATATTTTACATGTAGATTAGCACTGCCACATCAGCTGGTGCAAACCGGTTTGAATTCACATGGTAACAGTAGTATGGCATCAAAAACATTGCACTTTTTTTTTTTTTATACAGGGAAATTCACAAGATTATTTTGTACGCTTTAAGATTAACTTTTGATATGTCATACGTTTGTTGCATTTTAAAGAAAAAAAGGGAAAATAAAACGAGCAAAGATTACTATTTTGGGCAGCTGTCAGATTATGTTTAGTCAGGAGAAACAGATACACCCATTAGCTTAAGTAGTAAGGACATGGAGATGGATCGTAATAAACCCCTGATTGTTAGACTTAACTCCTCATTTGTAGTGTTGTGTGGTAATGAGGAGCCTTTGGTTCTATACAGTGGGTATCCCTTTCGAAATGTATGATGTAATTAAGGCGTATCTGTGTGACATAACATCAGTATGACTTTTCTGGGCGCATGTTAAGTACAAGTTAGAGATTGGGGAAACAGGGTGTGACATGTGACAGGTTATGTATGCTATAATAATGATACCCTGCAGGTACACATCCCGATGCCTGTTATAGGGTAGATCAACCCAGCGGTCACTGACAGGCAATAATACTTGACCTCATATAGCTATAAGCCCATGGGTGTAGGAGTATTACTTAGCCCATTAGAAACATATAAGCATGCTATACCGTACTCAATGTGGAGAAAAATAAAAGACAAAGTAAATTAATATAAGGGAGCATTCTAATAGGTTGCACTGAAGCTAAAATGTGCCACTGGAGTCTCTCAGGGCAGGCCACGCAGCCCCCCAGGCGCCATTCTCTGTGTGCCGCGGATGACATATAGACAGTCCTGCTGGATCTTACGGACTCATTCCTGCCTCTTCTCGTGTCCGACCTGCAAGCCCTGTGAAAAGTTGGGTTGTTGCCAGTCCCGTGCTCCATGTGCGCCTGTCACCTGTGCCTCCGGTTTCCCTGCCATGGATGGTCGATATCGGGATTCCCAGGTGAGATGTCGTCGGGCTGTAGTTCGGGGGTTGTCGTCAGGGTGCTCTAGGCCCAAGTTGGCAGCTGCTAGGACCGGACTTTGATATGAGGGCCGGTCAGCTGAGGCAGCTCCGCTGCTTAGCAGGTTGTAGTAGCAACAATACCCCAGCGTTAAGAGTTGGGGCGGCATGGTCCAGAAAGCCATATGAGTGCTGGTAACGCAGTCGGGCCCAGCATGTGCCATGTGGCCGCCATCTTGTTGGTCGGGCGCTGAGGTTCGTTGGCTGAGAATCTCTGCACAGATGGCCCACTCAGTGTCGGCTGCCTCCAGTGGGGACCGGGATAACCCCCGCCGGTCCATGGGGGGGGGGGGACCAGGGCCTGTGAGAGGTATCACAAAGCCGTTGGGTGATTGTCAGGCATGC